ACATACTCAGCTTCCATTGAAGAAAGGGCTACTGCTTTCATGAGTGCCAAGCTATTGGATTGTCGACATGGAAACATATAAAACCATTTAAGCTTGTCTGCCTATTACCAGACCAATCCGCATCACACATAGCTTCTAAACCTCTATCATTTTTCCATAGTTTTAAGTTGCATTAAGGTAGCGCATAATCCTCTTTTCATGCTTATATTGTTGTGTTGGTTTGTCCAGCTCAGGCAAATACTAGCGATATCTGGTCTTGTCACCAATGCCAAGTACTATCAGACTAAAAATCAGCCTTCTATAAGGAATATATTTTCTTCTATAGGTTGTCCTTCATCCATGTGGAAATTTACTTTCATCGGTGTTGCTATGGGTCTGCTATTTTCCGTACCAAACTCTTCCAGTAATCGTGTGATCATTTTTGTCTGGGTAATCTTGAGATCTCTTTCATCTTTATTATATATATATTCCTGAAAATGTCTTCACTTCAGTATAATATTTTTAAACTTGAATTCATTATATAAACTGCCCACTTTCTCTTTTGTTCCCGTTATCAATGCATCGTCCACAAATAACACCAAATAAACATCGTCCTTGACATACAACCAATAGTCATATTGTGATCTTTGAAAATTTAGTCTTAACATTACTCCATTGAACTTCATGTTCCAACACTTTGGTGCGTTACACAGTCCATACAATGCCCGGTTAAATTTTAAATACTTTGACTCACTTTTTGAGTCCCTCTGGCCTCTTGAGAATATACACTTGACTGTTCAATTGACTTCAATGAGACTCAGTATCCAGTCTTTTTGCACTGACACTGAAATTAAAAGTCTAATTATTGTAGAAAGTCTGCACACTGGGTGCATAACTAAACTCTTCGCCCTTATGCGGTACCTGAAAACCCCTTGCTACAAGTCTCGCGTTCTTCATGCCATCCTTTTTCACCTTAAAAAATCCATCTCGTCAATTGCTTTTTCCTTCAGGTAATTGAGTTGGAGTCCATAAATGTAACTTTTCATAAGAGTTCAACTCATTGTTTATTGCTTTTAGCCATTATTCAGATTTACTAGCTTCCTGATATATCTTTGGCTCTTGCTGACTCTCTGAGAGTGAACAATATGCCACATACAGCTCATAATCATCCAGGTTTTTGGGGTTTCTTGCATTTCTTCCAGATCTAGTTCCTGCACAATCTCTCGCTGGTATATATTCAGGATCACTATTGAGCTTTCACTGCTTTCATCTAAACTTTCATATTCTGTATCTTCATCTTCTGCGATTTGTCTCTATTCTGGAGTATTCTCTGTCTCATTCGAATTTCTATTTTCATCTGCCGTTATGGGCTTGTAATTATTTTCCTGTTTCTCCACATTTTTGAATTCCATAATAGTCTCATCAAACCCAACATCTCTTGATCGAATGATTCTATCTTCTATAGGTGATCATACTATGTAGCCTCCTCCACAATATCCCATCACCACTGCTTTTACTGCTTTTGGATTTATCTTGTTTCTATTTGGTAACACTATATGCCAAGCTTGACAACCAAAAATTCTTAATTTGTTCAAATCAATCCTTCCGACGCGACAATCTGTGATGGTGTCGTTCCTTTTGGTAAAATTGATGGATTCTGTTGAGTTTATATGCAGAACACTTTACAGCTTCACGCTATATCAATTTTAGAATGCAAGAATCAATTACCAACCGGTTCATCCTTTCAGAATTATCGTTCATCTGAGGATTGTAGGTCATTGTATATTCTAGTTTGATTCCCTTTTGTCTGCAAAAATCTTTAAAACTTCTTGATGTAAACTCTCCTCCATTATCCAGTCTGAAACGTTTCACTCTTACATGTGCTGTATCTCTAACTCAAGTACATAATCTTTAAAATTTCCTTCTGCTTCATATTTATTCTTAAGTAGGTAACTTCACAATAAATAATGCGGGTAATCATCAAGAAACACTTGAAAATATTTCTCTCCTAACATAGTAGTTAGGTGTCATAGGTCCACATAGATCACTATGAATCAATTCACCTATGGCTGTTGTACGTATCTCATTGGTAACGAATGGAAAACGTGTGGCTTTCCCTTCAAGACAAATTACAATTTGAACAGATTCTGTCTAAACTTTTTGAACCCAGCTGTGACAGAACCTCTTTACTTGCATGCCCAAGTCTTCTGTGCCCTGTGCCATATATTTTCATCAATATCATATCGTTTGGTCTTTTTCCACTAAAATCTGGTGCCCTCTAGTCCTAATTTTTGATGCTTACATCAAGTTATGCCTCATTTTTGGTTCAATGAAAGCCTCAATATAAACCGTTTGCCCTTGACAACTCGCTTTTAACGTTCCTACCTTGTCTGTCTTTAAAACTTTTCCGTTGGCACCGTTGGCTATGTATACTATGGTGGGACTCCGTGCCACGTAGAATTCGACATATCGAAACATATCCGAATAATGCCGCACAGAGGGCCGAGCCTATAGAATCCTGTCGATATGTAGAACTCTATGACACGGAGTCCCTGGGCTGTATACTGATACAATCTATGATACAAAATGAGGCTTGCCCTTGAATCCAATATGAAAGTTACTTCACCCTCGGGTACAGCATTACATAGATTTGTTCATATAACACAACAGCATTAGCTTTTTGCTTATTTCCTCTAAACCTGTCTCTATAGTTGTTATCTCTTCGTCTGAAAGTCTGGCCTTGACAAAATCAATTTTTTACGTAACTCACGGTTTCTAAAGCACCAACAACTGTATCAAATTTCGACGGTAACGACAGCAATAGGCGACAAACTCTATCACTTTCATCTATGTTTGACCTAAGTCTTTGAGCTCCCTTATTATTGTGTCGAACTTTAGGAATTGTTCTTCCAACTTCTCATTCACATTCACACCTGATTTTAGTCCAATAGTAAGTTTCTTCAAAGTGGTAATTTCATGAATGCACTAATTCTCATAAAAACATCCTTCAAAGAAGAAATCTGTTCCTTTGCAGTTTTGCAATCTCTGATGATGTCTAAATGTTTATCTGAAATACCTTGCACAATCACCGACTGTACCTTTAGCATCAAATCTAGTCAAAGAAACTTATTTTTCTCCTCATTTGTTGCTTTTGCTAATAGTGGATCATTAAGGGCATCAGAGCATTGTTCCCTTTTTAACAGAACTTTTTCAACGGAAATGCCAATTATTAAAATTAGATGCTTCCAGAATAGGTAGGCACTATGCTAAACTATTAGGTGAACGCCATCATTTTGCACAAACTAGAATTTTCGTTCAGACTGCTGAAACTTTTCGACGACCTTATAAAACTTATTTTGCACTTCTTCTCTTTTCCATACTCAACACTGCTGCTACTGGAACTAACTGGGAACTGGGCCCATAACCTTTTAAAGAGTGAATAACCAAAGAATTCTATAACAACCCTTTGTAATGTTTTTGTTGTTATATGCAACAATTAGTCCCCTCATAACTCACTATCCTTGACCTGCAAAATAATCCATAAATCTTACATTCTCAAGTTGTGGTGGGTGGTACAGGACACTACACAAAAAATTTATAGTTTTCAACACATTGAACAGTTTTTACTTTATATTCACTAGCATTCCTTATCGATGCCATCACTCCCCCAGATCTTCTATATTCTTGGTTACGGACTGTTCCAACCTGTATCAATCTAGTCTCAGTTTGCTCAAATCAATATCACCAGATACACATTAGTTTTACACATAAACACCATCATTGGTTTGCAGTCATTGATTAGGATCAGCATTATTATCTTTGTGGTTTAAATATCCATCCCTTACAGTTGAAGTAGGTATATGATTCCATAACTTATCACATTAGATGAGTCTAGTTGCTATTTCAAACACTTATTTCTTTGAATTTCTTCAATTCGCTTGTAGGTTTGACAATTTCTTATGTCCCAAGTTACATGATCAGTGTCCAATTTCATACCAAGCTTAATATTTGACTGCACACAGTTTCGTTTTGACCACTTCATTTCGAACACAATTCAGTTTCGTTACAGTGTTTAGCCAAATAGCCCTATTTGTTACATTTATAACAGTGTCTCTTTAAATGTAAGGTAAACTAAATCTGCCATGGTGAACTCTGTTATCATGGTTAATAATGTCCTCATCAGTATCAGCCAAGTAAATAAAAATGTTACGGCTTTAACTCATATCCGAACAACAACAGAAGAAGAAACCCGATTCCTCATTGAATATTGCATGAGCACAAAGAAGTTCTAGGCAATTAAACACGGCTTCAACCCAGTTTTTATAGTGCAAGCGCGCAATGTTTATTCTAATTTTTTTGAAAATTCTAGATCCGCTTCACTTAGTACAATAATTTCGTTTAATGCGAGTAATGAACAAATATGGGCTATAAAATGCCGGTTTGCCAAGCAATTAGTTGTTCATTAATATAAGTATTTAATTGGGGGCGCACAAAACTGACAGGAATGGGAAAATTTAAGTACCAGAGCCATGCAAATTTGTAATATTTTAATATTTAATGAAAAATTACTTATGGATCTAGTGAAAATGAAAATATTGTTATTTTCTCTCTCATAATTATTGTCATGTTGGTATCTCGAGCATACTGTTTTTGATCCTGATGATATATTTAAAATATGTGGGAATTCACAATCCATGCATGCATGATGCATTTCCATTTCATTATTCACAGCAATTATTAGGAATTTTTAATAAGCCAGTCATCATTTCTAGTATTTATAAAAAAAGAAATGATGTAAATAAATTAATTTTGATATTTTGGTAACACTTCTTGAGGTAAATTTTGTCTTTTAAAATAAAACATATCCTAGTATGAAACCCTATATACCAACACCTAATCTATCCCTGAAATAATAAACCATTAAACATGTATTACCTTACTTACCCTAATATATTGTCTATTGTTTACTATGATAATTATTAATTATTATTATACACCAATTTGTTATTTTTTTACTGTGTCAAATATCCATTAAATCAAAAAAAGTCGGTCATTGAGCAAAAATTCACGCGTGTTTTCTTTTTCAAACGGATATCTAGGAAAAAGTGATGAAAATTTACTCCTCTACACGGCACGTGTTGCATGTTACATGCAATAATGGATTTTTAATTAAAAATAAAACCAGGTATTTATTAATTAACCTGGCAAAGAGTTTTGCATTTTTCATTTGTACAGCGTACCTGTAAGTTGCCATCATGCGGATTAAAATGAAGATTTTTGTGCTCGTTTGTGTTGTTACTTGTGGATTTTGTGAGACAGAGCAGGACGAGAATAGAGGATTACATGTTTTCGGACGTACTATTAACGAGTGTTTGAATGCTAATGAAAGGTAGGACTTTATGGTTTTAAACTTTTATAATTGCCGAAACTGGCAACTACTGATCAAAATTGAAAGATTCTTGAGATAGTTGTGTTGTCAGCTAGAAGATCACCAACTCTAGTTCAACTTTAAGCCCAGTTTCATAATTGGTGGTAATCTGCACTGGTTATTAAACTAATGGTTGTGGGCTAACCACACCACAAGTTCACAGCAGTGTCTTGTGGTTACCTTTGGGTTACCGCTGTTTGTGAAACTGACCCTTAGGCAGTTATAAATAGATACTTACGGTTGCAAATATGGCAACTCTTCAAGTCTCCACTCAATACTTGGACTTGGACACAGACACAAAGTTGAGTCACAACTCGCTGTCTTACTAACGACTCGCCCATAGAATGGAATTGTCTGGATAATTCGTTTCCGTCCGTCTCGAATTCGCTGGAATATTGCGCGGTGAAAAATTTCTCGAGGCAGTTTGAGGCATAGTTGCAAGATCGTTCATAATTTCTCCAACTTTTTTATAGCACTACTCCCTTTCCTTTGAGCTATTCACCCCGAACAGCTCCCTTCATCAAAGTCATCCAGTTTGTCAATAAATTGGCCACCCTTAGTGTATCTTTGCTGACAATGATTTAAATTTGAAAGTCCTTATTTGAAGGTGACGGAGAAGAGTATTTATTCGTTGCTTATTTTCAGCATTCTATTTCTAAAGTCCACAGAGAGAAATTCATGGAATGTTTTTGGGACATCCATACCTACCTAATTTACTGTGTCATCATCTACTAATACTTCTACTTTCCTCAGTGCTGATGCCTTTTCCCAACACCTACAAAAAAATGTATTCTTCTTCAGTATTCTTTATTTTTCCTATGCCGACCTCGACTCATCTGGATTGTTCTTCGACTTTCTGTCGAATAGTCTGGCACAATCCGTTCTTTTACCATTTTCTCCTCGTTAAACACTTATTTGTTTCAAATTCTTTCGGAGTTCCGCCTAATATTTATTTTAAATGGTTTATTGAACTCACTCCTCATCATTTCTCTGTAGTACACTTGCTGGCCTGGCCTATAATTCATTAGGGATTCTTTAAATCGCTGACTTTCTATCGCATAAATACATTTCTAGAATCTTTGTTTTCTAAACATTTTCAGATACGCATGTTTTGCTGAAAAAGTAGCAAGAGCACTGGAAAAATCCATGGATTGGAACATTGAAATTATGGACGGCGTGACGCTCCAAAGAAACAATGAAACTGTAAACCATCGACAAGCAAGGTTATTAGGTATATTTTCTTATTAAAATTTAGGTAATAGAGAAAACCCATTTAATTGATTTATACCCTGTGATTAACATTTTTCCCTTGAAACTTGATGAAATAAGATTATAAATAAATTCGTTTTAGGATTCAGTCGCCTTAGCCAATCAATCCAGAACTTCTTCCAGACCCATGTAATTTCTTTAGAGCTTGGAGGTGCAAGGCAACTTCGCAGAGGTGAAGGAGGAGGAGGAGGAGGTGGCTTGGGCTTTGAAGGAGGAATGAAAGCTCTGAGAAAAGAAAAGAAATATATGTCGTATGCCTTTATGGTTCTGTTAGGTAAAAGTTGAAACACATAAAATAAGACTGTCGGGGCTTGACAGAGACTTTCTTCAATCAGTTTAAATTTTTCAAATGTTCAATGCTATTTTGTACATTCTCTTCTTGAGATTATAAATGGAAGATACACGCTGAGATTGCCTTCGACAGTTTTATTCTATGCACCATGCAAAGTTTACAGATCAACTATATTAATCTCTGTTAACTATGCATAACCAAAACCCTATGATTTTTCTAAATTATATTCTAGGTATTTTTGGTTTGACCGGTCCCTTGGTGATGAAAGTCCTGGCCCTAATGGCAGCCAACGCCCTACTAGCAGCAAAAGCGGCCCTAATCATTGTTGGATCAGTAGCACTCAAAAAGCTGTTCGAGAGAGACCACCAAGAACCTGCAGTAAAAGTGCACACCATTGCTCATGATGAAGAAGATTACGATCACGATCGGATAAGTAAATATGGATACTCTGGATACGCATATGACGGAACATATAACAAGAATTATCCGTACAGTGGGTATTATGATGATTATTATAAAAATAACGTGGCGAAGAATAGTAATGTGAATTTACGATGATGATGTATAGGAAATTGTATTTGTTTATTGAAATAAATTAGTTTTTAAATTGTATTTCATTTCTAAAGTTTTACCCATCAGGGACTCAAAATACTGTTTCTAGCTCTAGCACCAATGTTTTACTCTCAGTAGAAAAAATAGTCTAAATTCTAAATTACGTAACCTTCTTACTAAAACGATGAAATTTCGAAATTTTTTTTTCTTGAGATTTTGTATCCTAATGGTCAATTAACATCCACCAAACCCCATACACTGAATTATTTTCAGAGATTGTAGTCCGTTTATTGAGATAAGATTCAGTGAAAATTTCAGCTTTCTATCTATACCGTACACTGGGGTTTACGTTGCCTAAAGGGGTAAGTTTGCCAAGCAATGCGTCTATTATAAAAATAAATGTTTTTACGTGAAAGTGGCAATATTGCAAGCCTAGTAAACACTTTCCGTTCTCCGTTAGAAGCCGGTGCATACATCCCGCGCTTTTGTGAGTGGCAAACAAACCCAGTTGAAACTCTATAAGATATTTTTTATTTTGCCAAAATTGTCAACTTTCAGAAGCTCTGCTATACTAAGATGTGTACCACCAATATTACATAGAATAGAAACTTGAAACTTGAATATGTTTTTTGTGTAGCTTTTGACGTTATAACCATTATAAAACGATGTTGCCAAAGTTATCAAAAAAAACTTGGGGCAATAATTTTAATTTTAATGGCAATGTTACACCATGAGATTTATTCTATTTCGAAGATGATTTGACAAATTTTAAATTTAACTAGGATGATTTTTGTAATAATAATACTAGTGATTAAATAGATTACCAGAGTTTTAAGCAAAAAAAATGTTGCTTCAGTTAAGAGTTATGTTTTAAGTTGATTCAGAAATTTTAGTGTCTAAAATAAAGGCCTTTTCATAATACTCAATAACTTTTTTATTTTTCAAGATATTTTTGTGATTTTCACACGAAAATGTTGGAAATTTCACGCTAAAGAAAAATTTGACCAAAACTGGTAACTTTGCCTTTTTTAGCCAGTTATATGGCATGGCAATATTACTAAAAGGATGAAATTTCAATTTTTTTTTTATGTTGATATTTTGTATCCCAATGGTCAATTAACATCCACCAAACTCCATACACTAAACTATTCCCAGATTTGAAGCCAAAATCTATGAAAAAAGGCACTCAGAAAAATTGAAAAATTGATAAATCACCCCAAATTGCTTAACACGATTTTATCTCAGGAACTATAAGTGCAAATGAGCTGAAATTTTCAGGGATTGTAGTCCCTTTATTAAGATAAGATTCAGTGAAAACTTCAGCTTTTTATCTATAATAGAAAAAAAGTTATGCGCTTCCAAAGTTTTCGAAAATCTAAATCATAAGTTAGCTACTTTATTACTAAAACGATGAAATTTCAATTTTTTTTTTGTTAAGATTTTGTATCCTAATGGTCAATTAACATCCACCAAACTCCATACACTAAATTATTCTCAGATTTGAAGCCGAAATCTATGAAAAAGGGCACTCAGAAAAATTGAAAAATTGATAAATCACCCCAAAATGCTTAACACGATTTTATCTCAGGAACTATAAGTGCAAATGAGCTGAAATTTTCAGGAATTGTAGTTTCTTTATTGAGATAAGAATCAGTGAAAATTTCAGGTTTGTATCTATAATAGAAAAAAAGTTATGCGCTTCCAAAGTTTTCGAAAATCTAAATCATAAGATAGCTACTTTATTACTAAAACGATGAAATTTCAATTTTTTTTTGTTGAGATTTTGAATCTTAATGGTCAATTAACATCCACCAAACTCCATATTCTAAATTATTCTCAAATTTAGAGCTGAAATCTATGAAAAAAGGCACTCAGAAAAATTGAAAAATTGATAAATCACTCCGAATTGCTTAACACGATTTTATCTCAGGGACTATAAGTGCAAATGAGCTGAAATTGTCAGAGATTGTAGTCCCTTTATTGAGATAAGATTCAGTGAAAATTTCAGCTTTCTATCTCTATCTATAATAGAAAAAAAGTTATGCCCTTCCAAATTTTTCGAAAATCACACTTCTTATGGGATTTCTGACCGCGGTCAAATTTCACCAAATTTTAGTATGTTATAGATCTGACCTTTGTGATCAATAACTACCATGGGCTCAACTCAATCCTATGACTAGTTTTTGAGATACAGGGTGTCCAATGTGTGAATGTCCAATATGCATTATTACACCATGGAACGCATTTTCGATGAATATTACTATTTTTACGATAGTTGTTATTAATTTTATTAATAATAATAATAATATAGAGGCTGTCATCATCATTATAGATGATCACTCGATACCGAGTATGATTATCTACTATTCTTATTGTCGTCGATTATGAGTTTTCTGATGGCCATATATACATTCACGAATATCTGTCATTTTTCAGGAATAACCCTGACTTCTTAGTTTTGGGAAAAATTAATTAGGATCCTATTAGGGCACAGAAGAATGCATTAGTTGTAAATCCATCATAAACTAAGGCTATTTTGTTTGGAAGGAATATAGATGCGAGAGATTAGCTGCTTGCAGGTGTTGAGGCATTGTTGCTAGATCCTGCTGTATCTTTTACAGGGCATGTTAGTGCATTTTGTCACAACACATGTTTTATTTTAAAGAAGTTTTATGAATTTGAACATCTTCTTCCTACTAATACCAAAATCATGTTATTAGAGTCGCTAGTCTTGGCACACTGCTATTATGCAGATTGTGTTTATGGATCCTTTCTAACAGAACATAACATCATAAATATAGACTACAAAAGATTCAGAACAATTGTGTACGATATATATTGAACATAAATAGACGAGAACATGTTTCTCCTTACATTACTAACAGTGAAATGCTCAAGATGAGAAAAAGAAGATTTTTACGAATGTATTTTCTGATTTTCGCACAATAAACCTCGAGCCACACGCTTTTCCACAATCTTGGAACACCCAACCTTTGACAGCTAGCAGCATTGTTTCTTCCTCTGTTCTCTCGCTCCTTCCTCCAGGTCCCTCTTTTCGGTCTCGTGTCTGCGTCGCTGCTCTTTAGAACTTTGTGGTCCATCGTAGACTCCCAGCCATCTCCCAGTCCGGTATCGTTGGTATCGATGCGGCACTTTGCCATATGTTCCTATTTAGAACAACTTTGTAGCGTTTTTGTTGACCTCCTTGATTCCGTTTTCCCTCCTTCAGTTGACTGTCCTTCAAAACACTACTACTTCTAAATGTACGTTCGCGGTCTTGCCATTTAATCTGTAGGATCCTTCTCAGGCATCGCTGGTGATATTTTTCTAGGCTTTTTATGTGTTTTCTGTAGGTGGTCCATGGTTTGCATCGATATGTAAGTGTTGGTATTACAACTGCATTGTAGACGCGAAGTTTTGTCTCAGCACTGATGTCGTGATTGTCGGAGACTCTCTCTAGAAGTCGCCCGAGTGCTGCGCTAACACATTTCAAGCGATGTTGAATTTCAGCGTCAATAGCATTCGCCGACAGATGGCTCCAAGGTATGAGTAGTGTTCTACGTTCTGCAGAGAATGATCATTCATAATTTTATGGTTATTTCTGGGGCTTGGGGATTAATGCCTGATGCAAGTTGGTGCAGAATCTGCGTCTTGTTAAAGTTGACTTCTAGGCCGATTTTCCTGTACGCCTGGTTGAATGCATTGATATTTGGTTGAAGATCTTCCTCTGTATTGGCCATTACGACGTTATCATGCATATTGAAGTTCAATTGTGGATTTTGTATGTACAGACAAGTTGTACCAAACAACCTGTTAAAAATGCAGAAGCTATCATAACTAAAAGTAAGAATAGAATATACATTACCTACTATTAACAGTTGATTAAAAAAAATTAAAATATCTAAAAAAACTATTGGAGTAAGATATGTCTGTCTGCAGCATCTTGTACTACATTTAGAACCGTCCTATTAGGTAATCTAATGACAGCTTCATGCCTTGCATATCCCAAATACCAAATGACAGCTGCGATATGTGCGCATGAACCTATGGTTCGTGCACCTGTTTTGCACTGGCAAAAGTGACCTAATATAGGCCCATTTTCGATTTCTTGCTCAATATTGTCATCAGCTACATGTTCCGGATTATACCAAATAACTAGTTGGTATTTTACTTGATTTCTGTGCCTTGACCGAATTCTCACACGAATATGATTTGGCTGATTAAATATGGTATCAATTTCAAAAAAAAGATTACCATGCTCTTCAATATTATCCTGTATATAGGATGGTGATAATTTAATTTGGAAGGTTCCATACATAATGTGTCTTAACTGAACCATATTTAAAACAGGAAAATCTCCAAATTGATTTTCTCGTAAAGGTTCCCATCTGCCATGGCGTCTTAAAAGTCCCTCATTTTCTAATCTGGCTTGAAGTACATTGGGTTCGTTTACTCTTTGGAGCATTTCTTGAGCCAGTTGTTCCGTGGCTTCCTCCATGTGTAGCGTTGGACGAAAACGGTTAATTAGGGCACAAGCAATCCGAAAAATGCTTCCCAAATTATTTATTTGCGTATTTGGAAAAATGTTACGAAATATTTTAAATATTGATTGGATATGTCCGTTTCTGCTTTCAATTACCCACCTCTGTTTGGTAACAATTCTGCCAGCATTAGCCTCTGCAGTTGGTAATTGATTTCTGCCTTGTAAAGCTGGTGGAATTTGTACCGATATGCCAACATTGTTCAAAAACTGATCTTGATCTCGATCGTATTGACATCTTAAAATTGCTGCATCATTGTTCCTTGAATCTGCGAAGAATGGGCCATGAACGTCTAAAATATAGCCATCTGGGGCGACCATAAGTACTGGTTTTGCAAGGTGACAATGTTTATGGACTGAGAAGGACTGTCTTAAAGTTTGAAAATTTTTACTGCGCTGAATATGTAGATAGGTGCCATCAATACAAAGAATTGCTTTTGGATTTTCAGGTTCGTCATTAAATAATTGATTAGCGAAAACTGTCACGTGTTGTGCAATAAACTGCTCCCGATTTATATGGGCAAGAACTAAATTATGAGGCACAAAATTAAGAATTAAAGACTCTCTCACCTTGTTCATAGCTAAAGACACAGATTGTCGACTACTGTACGAAAACATAGTTGCCAAGAAAATATCGGAAAGTCCTTGTCTTAGTTTACATAAGAAACATAATAAATCTTTTTTCGTAATTGTTCTACTTCTCCCATAAATATTTACATTAGCGCAAACATCGAATACCTCCCGAAATTGCGCCTTATCTAAAGAAGATAATGCACATAGTTCTTCATCACTAAAATTATTTTCATGTGAAAAGATAACATCTCTTTGGCTACTTTCTTGCATTTTGGACATGAAAGAAGAAAGCTCTCTTCCTTTTAATTCGTAAGGCCTTCTAAGGGATCGAATTCCATTTTGTACGGGATAAAGTAAAAAACCATTATCGTCCAGATGAACAGGACAAATCCTACAGATGCTGGGTATGTAAATACCTTTTTGTATAAAGGTTGAAACTCTTGTTTCTAGCGATAATTGTTGAATGTTTTCA